AGGCACCCTGTGGCTTTCCATTCAGGTACAGAACTTTTTAGTCCAATAGATCTCAAAACCAGCTGTAAAAGAAACCTATTGGGGTTGTCGGTGGTTTTTTTTTTATTTAATTTGTCCAAGAATGGTGCTGGGGTTATGTCTCACCAGATATAGTACCAGCTACACAAGTAAGATGACCCAAGTTCAGATCTTTTGCCCCTAAGTAGAAACCAATCATGCCAATGTGCTCCTATCACCCTAGAACAGGCCAAGGAGGCAAAGAGCAAATCAAGAGCAGGACCAAAAAATAAAATTCCAGTCAAAAGGAGGTATTTAGAAATAGAACTGATAATCCTGGGCAGGCTTCAGGAACAAGCAACCAAATTCCTGGGTGGCTAATTACATGTGAACTTCGGGCAAAATTGGTCGTTCAATACATGGGAGAGCACTTGCTGGCACACATGAGGCCCTGGGTTCTGTCTTCAGTGCTGCCCCTGTCCAAGATAGATAGATAGATGGTGGGTGGGTGGGGGGGGGCAGGCAGACAGACAGATAGATTTGAATTTGAATTTCAGGTGTATGTTTGTGTGTGTGTGTGTGTGTGTGTGTGAGAGAGAGAGAGAGAGAGAGAGAGAGAGAGAGAGAGAGAGAATTTCTATGCATTATTGGGGACATACTTATATTTACAAAATTATTTATTTATCTGAAATACAAGTGTAACTGGCCAGATTTCAGCTCTCAACCCAGCCTGAAGGCATCTGGTGCAGTACTTAACAGTACTCATCTGGTCAAAGAAAAAAGCAGGGCGCCCCACTTGCATTGTTCATAGGAGCCTGATGATGCAAGCTTTGCTTTCGAGTACTGTTGCCTAACTCTGCTGCTGAGCACAGCCTGTCTGAGGAAGCACGGTTGCTGTGGGCCACTCTCCCCCCTGGAGCGGGAAGCTTGGCTCTGAGCAAAGCTGGAGATTTCAAAGGTAGTGGGGAAGCTGAATGAACCGTCTCCTTGGCCCATGTGGTGCCTCGAATACATTAGACTAGAGCTAAGTGCTGCCCAGCAGTGCCCTACCTGACTCGTGGAGTGAAAATAATGCCCAGAGGCCCAGCTGACAGCACGGTTTTCAATATGCTAGTGCCTTTAAGGCAGCCTGGGCCTCCAGCCCTAAGCTGCCTTGTCACTTGGTCAGCCTGACCCTTTCATTAAGTATTTTTGCATCCTCCCAACCAGTCTTTAAATAATGAAAAGGAGACTCTGATAGTTCTGGAAGTTGTCCCAATGGCTGGCAGGTACTGAAAATAGGTTGGGATTGATTGATTGTGGTTATAACCAGCAGGGCCCCACCATGCCCCCCCTCCCGCCTATGCATAATGTAAAATATACAAACAGCAGACAGGGAGCAAAGCCAAGACTCTTTACTTTGATTTGCGCTCAGCTCCTTTGAAATCCAATGTATTTGGAAGACTCTGAGAATGAATATGATCCTGCTTCACAGCGCTGCTGTCTCCTAGGATTTCCTGGGACCTCTGGGGTTAAGAAGGCAGACTCAAAGCCTGTGCAACCTTTGAGCCTTTATGAGGGTGAGGCAGAGAAAAGGGGGGAGGCAGAGGACAATTCCATGCTCTTGTGAAATTAAAACATACACAGGTATAGGTGATCACGTCTCAGGAGGTCTCATGCATAATTATTTTTTTAATGAATTAAGACATGGGTAGAATTTTTAAATGCCTCTTGAATGCTCCAAATGTTCTTAAAGTCTTGAAGTATTTTTAAATAGACTTCTGTGTAGAAAGTTTGGGTGATTTTTTAAAAGCTCTGGTTGAGTTTTTTTTTTTTTTTTTTTTTTTTTTGTCTTGTGGCTCAGTCTGACCTGAAAATTAGCCAAAGATGACCTTAAATTCTTATTCTTTCCCAATCCTCCTACATCAACCTTCTGAGTGCTGGGATTACAGGCATGCCTGTCTGTGTTCATGTAGTGCTGGGGACTAAACTCAAGAGTTTTATCTTTGCTAGGTGTGGTGGTTTGAATGAGAATGGTCCCCATAGACTCATATGTTTGAATGTTTGGTCCCAGTTGGTGGAACTGTTTGGGAAGAATTAGGAAGAGCTGTGTCACTAGAGCTGGGCTTTGAGGTTTCAAAAGCCCATGCCAGGCCCAGTCACTAACTCTCCACCTCCTGGTTGTTGTCTCAACATGGAAGCTCTCAGCTAATGCTCCAATGTTATGCCTACCAAGACTGCTGGCATGCTCCCCAACATGTTTTTTGCTCATGGACTCATCTTCTGTAAACAAACACCCAGTTAAATGTTTTCTTTTATAAGTTGCCTTGGTCATGGTGTCTCTTTACAGCAATAGAACAGTAACTAAGACCTTAAGACTAGTACTCTATCAAAAGAGCTATATCTAGCGCCCCTAGGTGTGTCATTTCAAAAGCATACCCAAGAATCACATGGTATAACAGGATTCTAGAATCAATGGGAAAATGAAGTCAGTATATCACGTTGGGTTCTCTCCAGAAGCAGACTGGGATAAGAATTCCAGTGTGAAGAGGATACCCCAGGAAGGCACGGTCTTAGAGAAGTAAAATAGGGAAACAAAGAGAAGCAATTGTTTTCCTTGGCTTTCTGTCACTGTAACAAAATACCTGAGGACAGATTATTTTTTTTTCAATAATTTTTAAAATAACAGTAAAAGGGGTAGAGATTTGTGTAGGTCATATTGCTGGAGTCTGCAAAGCCTAAGATCATGACACCAGAATCTGCTGGGCATATAGGGAACTATATCATAATTGGTAGACGGTATCTTGTGGTCAGACACAGGAAGGGAGCTGGTTCTGCTCTCTAGCCCTCTTTCTAAAAGGCCACAAATCTCATAATATAGCCACTGGGATTACAGGCTTGCACTTCCACACCTGCCATTTACATGGGCTTTAGGGACTGAACTCAGGTCCTCATGTTTGCATGATTGTCACTTTAACAACTAAGCAATCTCTCCAGTCCTTGTTTCTTATCACTTTGCAATAAGTATAAAAAACTTAGAGTAAGCATATGAGAACTTATGTATTGATTTTATAATGTGGTTATACATTCGTTTCTTACATTAAAAAATGAAGAATTGGGGCTTATTTTGTGCTCTTTAATTTTTTATAGTAATTCTTGTTTATTGTATGTTCAAAAGTATTAGGAAAGGGAAAAATATGGCTTAAAAATTATAAAAAATCACCAATTCTTTAACAAGCATTGTTTCAGAAATGTTTTATACTTTTTCTGCTTCGTTGCCTGCTGTTGTTCCACAATGCGTGCCCCATTAGTGTGGAGGCACATGCCTGTAACCCCAGTGCTAGGAACAAAGACAGGCAAATCTCAGGCTTATTAGTCGGTCCACCTAACCAAAATGATGACTTCCAGTTTCAGTAATAGACCCTGCCTCAAAGAGTATCACAGAAAGAGGTTGAGGAAGATACCTAATGTCAATCTCATTTCTCCACACACATACACACATGCATGTCTACACTCACACACACGCATCCCAATTCCTAGTCTGACACTAGTACAAGGTTTTGCTTAGAACACATGTCACAGTGAGCTCACTTGAGGATAGTAGGAGCTAGCTCAGTATGTAAGTCAGGGCTTCCTTCCAGGAAGGACACACTGAACGTGGGGGTGGTAACACCCAAAGGGTTCTGCATGGGGCAGCCATAGCAAAGCTGGAGAAGCCAGTATACTATGGAACACTGCTGGGTGAGAAAGGATGCTTACCTCATCTCTGGCTCCATAGGGACACCTGCCATGTGGAAGACAAGAGGTGTTTTCAGCTGCAGGCAGGAGGTCCAGCTGAGCTCTTGACTGTTCTTCTGCTGGAGACTACAGGAAAGGGCCAGGGATTTAGGCAAAGCCAGGAGCTGTGACACATCTCCCAGCTTGAGCCTGCTGAGTGACCCTGAGCATCTCTGTTTCCTCATCCATAAAATGGAGATGTTGACCTGTGCCCTACTTCCCTCCCAGGGCTGATGTAAGGATCAAGGGGGATGAAAGCAGGGACAAAAGTTTTTGAAAAGTTGAAAGTCTTTTGTGGCTGTCAACTTAAAGGGGGACTAATTACCCGAGGGGTGAATTTTCTGGAATGCTTGGCTCTTAGAACATAGACCCCGACCCCAGTCGTGGCTTTGAAAGGCCTCTGATTAAATTCAATGAAGGATCCTGGTTTGGAGCCTGCATCAAAAGACTAATGATATTCTAAAGCATATGATTGGAGCAAATGGTGATATTCAATAAGGTCTGGATAGTCGGTGACAATATGAAATCAATGTCAGAGATGTTGTACTTGGTCACTGTACTGTGGATACCTAGAAGAATGTGCATGCTTCTAAGAGGTCAGAGCAAAAGCATTTAGAATTCAAATGTCATGTTGACTGCAATTTCAAAGAGTATCTAAGGTTCTGCTACATGGGAACAATCAGAATCGTACCAAACTTCCAAAGCCTGAAACCCCTTTCATCCTAAACTCAAGAGAACAAGTGGAATTCCCACACCTAGGCCTCCTGTGACATTCAGAGTCAAAAGGCAGGGGCAAGGCTGGGTTTGAGGCTCAGTTGGCATCAAGATTGCCTAACATGCAAAAGACCCTAGATTCCATTCCTAGCACCACATACGGGGCTTGGTAGTGGATGCCTGTAGTCCTAGCATTCAGGAGGGTCCAAAGTTCAGTGTCATTTTTGCTACATAGTGAATATGATGCCAGCCTGGACTATATAATACCTGGTCTCAGAAATGAAAGCACAAAAAATATTGTATACACTTCCCAGTTAAGGTTAGGGTGAGGGTTAGAGTTAGACTACATATATAAGGTATATAGAAGCATTTTTGAATATTGCATTTAGACTTGGGTCCCCTCCAGAGGATATCACATTATACAGATACAAATGTAACAAAATTCACAAATCTGAAATTAGAACCTATAGCAACAATAGCAAGCATGGGTAGTTGGAGTGAGTTCATGCATGCAGAAAGAAAACAGGACTCAGGCCCCTTGCAATGGGCAAAGAGACACCTTGTTGTTGGTGGTGTTCTTATATCTGTCAAGGTCAGAGCCGATGGCAGTCCTTTGTTCCTCCTAGCTTGATGCCTGACCTGGAGGCCAAAGCCATCTTATGCCTGAGACACATAGAAACCAAATCCAATCAAATCCAGGCAGTGCAGCAAGGAGGAGGAAGACAGAGACCTGTGTTCGATCCTGCCATCCACAGACCTGCCCTCCACCCCACGTCACAGGCTGGCCATAGGTAACCATTTGCCACCACACCACACCACACAGCACAGATGGAGGATGTCACCCAGGGGCCCGCCAGCCACATGGCCAGCCTGCAGCAGGAGCCACCAGAAAATAGAAGTATGTGGTGGTCAGATGGGAGAGAAAGAGAAGGGGAGCAGCTTGAACATTATGAAGAGAAATGGAACTGGGGACTCAAGGGTGAAGAGGAGTAACCTGTTGTGAGTAGCCAGCCCAGCCACCTGGGGCCATGGTGAGGTCCCAGTCTGTGCTGTCACTTAGGGCCATGTATGAGTCCATGGCTGTGCAGCAGCAGGGGACAATGTTCATATCTGTGGCTCATGTTCCCACTAAAAAAAAAAAAAAAAAAAAAAAAAAAAAAAAAAAAAAACAACAACAACAACAACAACAAAAAAAAAAAAAACATAGGGATGTCCTGGGCTCAGGCAGCTGTCATAAACCATGTGGATGTCAAGGAGCTGTAGAGAACTGGCCCCACTCCTCACTGCACAGTGGAGCTGGCCCTGGTGGTGGGGATGGGGATGAGCCTGCCTGAGGGTCTGAGTGTAAGAGAGCTGACTCTGGCAGTCAGGGAAGCAGCTCAAAGGGTCATGAGTTCAGGAGAGCTATCCTTGCCCCTCACCAGCTACAGCACTTGGGAGAGGAGGCCCTGCACCTCACCTAGACAGCACAGCAGAAGTGACCCTTGTGGTAGGGGTGCAGGTGAGCCAGTCTTCGGTGTGAGAGTGCTGGAGAGATGGCTCTGCCATGAGGTGGCATGGGTGTGGAAGTGATGCTCTCCCTCCCAAGCCTCACCACCTGCAGCAGTCAAGAGAGGTGACCCCAGGGTCATGAGAGCAGGTGAACTGGCCCTGGCCCTGGCCCTTGCTGACTGGAGCCCTTAGGAGAGTGGGTTCTGCACCTCACTTGGGTAATCCAGTGGAGCTGGGCCTGATAGGGAAGGCATGAGCAAGCCAGAATTGAGAGTGGGAAAGCTGACCCAGCCCCTAGAAGGCTGCAGCAATTGGGAGAGTGCAGATAAGGGGAAGCCAGCACACCAGGCTCAGATTCAGCTCTGAGTTGGCCCACCCCAAAATCTATATCATCTGCGAACAATTAGGATGTGTGAAAGGATTAGGCCTGCTGAGCCAAAGCTGCAGGATCTCCATGACACAAGGCAACAACAGGATAACCAGGAGGAGTCCTGATGAGGATCCAATGTTGATGGTGTCACAGAAGCCAGAGAAATCGTAAACCAGACCAATGGTTCACTGCAATGAACATTTGGAAGTGAAGATGTGTGGACAGTGGGCTACACTGTGGGAAACACTGTGACATAGCATAGCTTCCATGATGAGATTGAGATGTTTTCTATGCTTTGCTTTTTTATTTTGGGGTGTGTGTGTGTGTGTGTGTGTGTGTGTGTGTGTGTGTGTGTGTGTG